AGTGAACCCTGAAACCATATTCCACCGGAAAATTTCAGCACATTGAAAACATTCTTGATTGAGCAACTAAAATGACCAAAATGTGTTCTCTTTTGCTCTTAAAAACACAGTGCCGGATTAAGGTACATTCGGACCGGGTGGCTTTAGGGTGCGCCAAACTTAGATTGCATGTCATTCGAGTGAACGGAGTAATAAGTATATCGTCGATCGAACTCCATCCAATTTCCATTTTCACGGAGCTCGTGTTCATGGTTTGATGAGATCAAGGAGGCTTTGCTGCATGTGCTGCCTCCACTTCTGATTCTCACATGGCTCTGATTTTCGTGAAAACGATACTAACCTATACAGTGAAAAAGTGGCGGGGTATGTTTTTGACTTTATGGCTCGATGGAATAGCACTTTTCGTGCGAGGCTTTGTCGTGTTTGGCCCGCGACAGATTCAGATTATGGTCCTTCGCGTTTTACGACATTCTTTCACAATAAAAATTTGCATTTATTGCCCTATCGGTTATAAAAATATTGGTCGTAAATGTCGCCGATGATAAGAACAATCGACGAGGCTGTTTAAGTTATATTAAGAAACCACTTGGCGAATTAGCTAAATAATTTAATAACAATAATTAGAATTTTGTCCGTTTATGGTCGACGTTTATGCTGCGAGGAACCCGTGGCGAGATTTCGGCCAATTTTCGTGCCGGCGATGATGATGCGGTGAAAAAGGCAGAATGCGTGATCTGAAAAGGCAGGTGTCCGGGTAAACGAGTTGATCGACTTTTTGAACAACGACCTTTACCCATAATATATCGTTTTAATTTAATGCGGAGTTTATAATAAAAGGTGGGTATCCATAACTTGATATTTTTATGGGGTTATACGAAGTGTTTATTACATTTTCTTTTCGCATGACTCGCCCTTGTATAATAAACCGAAAATAACCAATAAATTGTAATTATCGGACATTAAACATAATGAGGATTCCGCTTATGTTGTACATTAGTGAAAGAGATCGGTACCCGGGCGGTTAGGGCCGAAATGCCCAGGGAGGGTTTTACTACTAATTGACTACAACAATTACGTGTCATTAGGGACGCACTTCCTCGGAACGCGCATATAATGTAATTATTGTAATTAAAGAACAGAAACACGGCCCGCATTGTGCGAGTACCTTTACCACTTTACCTACTTATATCGCGCGGGTTATCAAAAATGAAAACCGAAGGGCGCAAGAAATGAATTAGGTCGAAACGTCACAAAATTTTCGTCAGTTCAGAGCGCGGTAATTATCGGTACAGGAAATGCTTTTTACCCTGCCTAACTATGTCATAACTTCCTGCTATTACCTTTTACACTTTTCTAAAATTTACTAAGTTAGAAATAATAAGTGTCTGCCTTTTTTGTCGTATTGTGTCCGTACTCAAAACCTCTTTCGTCTCACAAAGCTTTTCATTAAACTGTATAAATACATAACCGCCAGTCATAATTTTAATAGCGCTCGTACACGCCTTTCTTATTATCGTTTACATGCATTACAACCCACTTAATGTACTTAATAATAAATTCGATTCCTTCTAATACCACTTTGTACTTAATGAATATTTAATTTATGTTAAATGAGACAGTGAGTAATAGAATTCCTTTCGACACTTTTTTAGGACAATTTCTTTATTATTAAAGAGACATATGACCCTATTTTCCCATACAACCTTTTAAAAGCTAATGCTCAGAAGCGATATGGACAAGAGGCAATAAACGGTAACGGATTACGCCTAAATTATTCTTTCAAATCCTAATCTAAAACAATGGGGAATTAACAGAAAAAAAACGAGGCACCTTCAAATTTCTAGGGCATAACAATTCACCGTAAAAATTCTCATTTAGTTAATGATTTAATTGGTCTCGTAAACAAACAGCTTCTCTTGTGATTGTCATGAACACCACCCAGCCGTGAAATTAACTTTTAATTATTTCATTATTAATTCATTTTTAATTTGTGTTTCCGTCATTTTTTATTAAAAATTAAAATTGAATCAGGCTCAATCTTATGAATTGCGCAAGTATTACGTTATTCTGGGAATTAATTTAATCAAATATATACAATTATTTAAATTGTCAATTTTATGCGATTCTATAATATTTTGTGATCGTCGTAGTACATCGACTTTCTAAATGGAAAGTAAAAATATCGGTTATAAATTGGTCATTGAAGCCGAACCAAAATATTCTAAGTGAACAAAAATTTTATTTAAGATTTTGCAAATGTGTCAATTCACAGATTCAGTGTCATCCCTTTAAAAAAAATCTTACAGTCTTTAATTAACTTCCACAAAAAGGTTTTTGAAGAAGGCGATATTAATCAATACAGAGCCGATATCGAGATGCGGTTTTCGCGAGCTTGTTTAGGCATCATTTAGCTACTTTTTCATTAAAACAAATCGGTCCAATGCATTTAATTTGTTTGAGAAAATTAACCATTTCTGTCGGAATGTCGAAAAATGCCCTCAAGCGGCGATAAGCGAAACTAACAAAACTTCACATATGATAATATTTGTAGCCGAAGAATAACTCTTTGCAATTAACCCGAGTTTGTTAAAATCGGCTCAGTCGTTTCGAAGATACAGAGTGTTCTTTACGGAAACCTTTGAATACCCCCCACCACTTCATTTTTAGAGATACAGGAAAAATTGTCAAACAAAAAAGGTTCGTCAACTTCAAAGAAGTTAGGTTACTATAGCGGAATTAACAGAAAAATCACTTTTTTAGATTCCAGATTGCAGTTACGTCCCCTAGCGGCCGTTGTAGTAATAAATATTTTTACCGCAAGCCTCTACGACAGGTTCCCAAATACAGTACCTCGGATTGGGCCACTGTACACTAATATTTTAACATGTCGATATTTTATCCTAAGTTCTTCACATTAAAACTAAACAGAAAGCAACTTCCGAATCACTCATCCTAGATGTTAACCACGTACTAAGCTGCTGAATTTCGAAGAATTTAATATTTGTTCTTCGAGTTTTTTGTAATAAATCCCAATTTGTGTAGGTTAAACAAAATTATCATATCTTATTACCATGTAAGATAAAAAAGGACTATTTTAAATATTTTTACGTAGTGGCATAGTCAAAAACCATTTTTGGGCGACCGTTTTTGAGACTTGATCCTAAGTTTGTATTTTTTAATGCAACACTCTGTATATCTTAACGTCAGTTTCCTGATTATATTGATGTATGATAACGATCAGATTTTTCCAATTCTTGAAAAGACATGTTTCTACAGTCAGTCATGTTTATTGATTGGTCTTAGTTACCATGGATACAATAAACAAAACAAAATCGCAATGAATCCATGGCCTATTTACAAACCGTAAAAATAAGGTTTCTATTTTTGGTTCATGGCTAAAATTTAAATAAATGTAGGTTGTCATACATCACTGTAATCAGGAAAAAGAATGCAAAAAAATTTACGTTAAGATATACATGATGTTGCATTTAAAAATACCAACTTTGAGTTGTTAGGACACACGGTACATTTGCAAAATAGGTCTTTAGAACAATTTAATAAAAATTGTCAGTTATTTGAAAAAATGATGCGGCGTTTTAAAAATTTTTTCCAGAAATCCGGCCCCCTATTTTTCGTTTCCGTATGTGTAATATACACACTCAAAATTTGAACAAAATCTTTCGAGCCGTTGTTTCAGAAAATTGCTAACGTATTCTATACGTAATTCATGGCTCACCATTGGGACAGTGTAGCTTAAACGTTGCCTCTTTTTGTGACCTAAAAGAACACTTTGGCAATTTTTGAAAAACCTTTGAAAATATCTGAGATATAACTGAAAAACTGAAAATGTTAAATTTCACTAGCTTAAATTGGTTGGAAATGGACGGTTCCCGTTAGCACCTTCTAAGGGCACATTTTCGGTGAATATCAATCTGTTATCAGAATTTCTATAACGCATTAGATGTAGAAGCTAGAGGGTACTACTGTCATAGTACTTATGAGCGCCATATTGGATTCTTACGGAATGAGAGAGAGAGTACAAAAAAATAAATTCATTTGAATAATTGAATGCATCGCCATCATAGGCTCATAGCCATCTTGATTCAGCAAAATCTAGTTACCCGCGGATGTTTTGGTGAAAAATGAACGCAAAGGTTCTGATTTTGAAATTTTTCTCGTCAAAGAATAGAGTGTGGTACCTCATTATTTTTCTTTTTTTGTTCTCTATCTCCTCCCGTAAAAATCCAATATGGCGCCCATAAGAAATAAGAAAGTAGTAGCCTGCAACTTCAACATCTAGCGTGCTATGGAAATTTTGATAACAAATTCAGATTCCCAAAAAAAGTGCCTACGTAAGATGCTACCGGAAACCGTCCACTTCCGACTGTTTAAACTAGGGAAAATGAATATTAAAGTTTTTCAAAAATATCAATGGCGTTTTTTTAGATAGAAAAAGGATCAACCTTGCACGTCTATTTAACCTACACTGTATATGTCACGATTTTAAACCACCCTGCACATACATACATAGACAAAACATTTTTATTCTTTAATAGTTACTTAAAATGACCCAAAACGTCCTCCGACATTTGATGAAATTTTGACATGTCCAAAAAACGGTGATCGCAGGAGACACCTAGTTCAAAGCAAGGAAGCTAAAAATCAGTTAGTTTGTTGAATTATACAGGGTGTTACAAACATTGTGAGCTGACTATATGCAGCCGGCTTCTACGACAAGAAAAAAAGTTAAAATAAACATATCTATATGTATGTCAGATACCTATACGTTCAAGAAATACGGCATCCCTAACAGTAACGTCATGTTACTTACTAAAATACGAGTTTATTCAAAACTTTTAAATTTTTTGTCATAGAAATTGGCTGCACACAATCGGCATACAATTTTTGTAACGCTCTGTATAACGTAAAAGTTTTTTTGCCACATATTACAAAAAATTCACACCCTTTTTTAAATAGTTTCAATTTTAAGGTAGTTTACCGGGGATAGATTTGTTATTTGTAAATTTTTATTACAGAACCGGTTCCATCGGCTGATTCGAACCCAGACATAATGGGAGTATCTGAAGAATTGACCCCAAACGCCGGAATGGAACCGCGTACCACCGGCGCGCCGGACCAAAGCGACGGGAGCGATCCCGAACCGGACGAATTCGCCCCAAAACGAAAACAGCGACGCTACAGGACCACGTTTACCAGTTATCAATTAGAAGAATTGGAGAAGGCGTTCTCGAGAACGCACTATCCTGACGTTTTTACAAGGTTCGTATGTTAACCTACGTAAAGGCGTACACTTAATTATTCTTATTAAAATCGAACGCGAACCCCCCAATTTCGAGTTAATTAAATTGAGTACGAATATGTGCCGCATCTTTGATACCATGTATGCGTGTAATTGGTTGTTCGGTAACCGGTAATTTCCGGCTATTACGCTACCAAACAGTAATGAACGCACACTCACTTAGTCATTATTTAACAACTGCTGAAAATGTTAATAATGGTGTATATAAATGAATTTTCAGGCGCAATCTTCTCGATAAAAATTTAATCATCTCCACCCCGCTCGAACGGCGTAGTAATTCGCGAGGCATAAAATTAAGTTCCGCGCCACTTTCTTTTTATTTGGCTCCGAAAATTCGAGAGGAAAACGCGGCAGGTTCAAAAGGTATCGGCGGTGTATGGGGATTGACATCCTTATTACCTGCAATTTGTCGGTCGGACGCGAGAAATGGCATTGTAAAGAATGCTCAATTAGGTAGCTTTTACCTGTCCCGATGACGCTTAGGTAGATCACAATAGATTAAAAATGATTTCGGTTTTTCGTCGTGAAAGTGAATCATTACGTGTGTAAAAAATGCTGATCCTTAATTGCCCTCTGTTTGGGTTGTACCTAGGGTGTAATTACGATAATTGCATTTATTTGGCAACGTGGCTTTATGGGGTTTAAATATACAGAGTGACTTGAATTCATCTTTGCGCATCTGTAGAAATTATTTTTGAATGTACAGGGTCTTACGGTGTCAATAAATAACTTTTTTAATACAACACCCTGTATATCTTTACATGTTTCGATGTCATTTGTTAACATCTACGTTGAACGCTATTCGCTTTTTGATTTTTTGTCATTTGTTTTGTCCTTGCTTTTGTCACCATGCTACTTGATTTTTACTCATAACAAGAAAGATAGGTTCACAATGTATTATATTTCTATCCAAAGTTTAACACCACTACAGTAGCTTATAAATCTCTTGCCACTAATATCATTATTACTGCAATTGTATGTTATTTTTTCTCCTGTATAGGAGTGACTTCTTTTGTATATCCTTAGTAATAATAAAGCTATCGCCTTTTCAAGATCTCTAAGATCCCAAAAAAACACCCTGTATTCTAGACTTCGTCGACAGGTACAATCACATCGACTCAAGCTATCAGGTTTCCAGTAATTAAAACAACATTAAACATTTTGAACGCCATTTGATATCATTAATCTCGGGTAATTGGCATCACGTATATATAATTAGTTACAATGTTAATAACGTTTATGTTCATTTGTATAATATCATATTCAATCGGAAAAATTAAAGCAACGGTTATATTTATCATGTTAATAATAAGTGTTATACCTACTTTCAGCGATTTAATTAAAGCAGAAAAAAATAATGCAAGCTTTTATAGGTCGATAAAGTTGGTACTTTGCCCAAATCGAATAAAAAACTAATTTGCACCCACAAAACTCGAATTCCGCCGGAAAACCGATTTTTCTTAGTCGCATAAAGACTAATATGTACCCAAATTAGAAGTTCATTGTTTAAACAATGTGAGGAGGCTACATGATGTGATTTCGGCGACATCTGGGCGCCATCACCGAGCGTGGTTTACTAACGTGGTGATTTTCATTTTAGGTAGATTTCTTTTACGTATTGTAATGGTAATGGTAATACGTTTCTAGGTTCATATATATCACTTCCAAGAAACACTCTAACTTTCATAACTATGAACCGATTTCGACCAAACTTTAAGGGTCTGATAAATATTTCGTTCAAGTTCGTGAACCAGCCAATTCCGCCATATTGGGACACTTATAGAAATCTACCTACACCTGATCGATCGAGCCGAAAGGGATTTTGTTTCTACCTTCTCCTACAGTTTTTTCTATTATGTTTCGGAACACGAAATGGAACAAATAATGTGGGATAGTGTCTTATTATAATTTACTAGTTTGATAGTGGATTAACACAAAAATAAAACAGAAACTAAAGACATTTTCGCACTTTGCCGTGTATAGTTGCCTATTCTTTGAATTTTCAAAATGATTCATCCAACATACATATATAAGGCAGTTGGTGGGTGTGTACTAAAATATTATAATAAAGTAAATTCATTGATTAACGCTGTATTTCTAATTGCAGAGAGGAATTAGCAATGAAGATAGGATTAACTGAAGCAAGAATACAGGTGAGATTTATTACCTTAATTAAGAATGTCAATTTATCATTATACGCACTGCGCGAACGGGTATAAATTTCTTCAAAACAATTAATTTTTTTGCCTTACGAAGCGCATTAATCGAAAAATAATTACAAGTGAAATTGCATTAGCGGTCAACTTTCTTTCATGTCAACATAATCTCTTAAGAGAGTAAAAAGGAGGCGGACTCATTAAGTAATTCCATGAAATTATACGCAGATATTGTCGGTTTTAGAAATCGCCAATTAATCAGTTGCATATACTTTGCATTAACCTCGCGGTGAGGCCGAAAATTTTTTGTGGCGTTGTTGTTGAATGAGTATCGGCTCGATAATAAAGAATAATAATATCAATAATAAGTTCTTGGGAGTCGTGCTGGTTCTATTAGTCGTGATGAGAATCCAGCTCTGCTAATAACCGTCTGAACGATTTGTATGGAGAACCCTACAATCATCCGCCTTTAACATTTCAAAAATTCAATAAAATTACACTTTCTTATTTATTATCACCATATTTAGGGTCTGCTCTTTTATTCCTTCGATTCTTTCGAAGCATGCACGAATTGTAACCATCGACTAATTGTATGATTAGCACCCTCGCCAGAGCGTTGCCATATCAACCTTTGTTGTTGGATCCATCGCATTAATTAATAAGAATAACGTACCTACGCGCGGCCATTATTAAATTAGATTTATAAAAATCGCCTTTCTCCTTTTAAGTGGAACGTATCGGATTAATTCGAGCTTTAATTGGTTAAAAAATTAATGTATTTATTAAAGAAAAAAAAAGGGGAACGAAAGATCAAAATTAAATTAATGTTTTATATTGCTAGTGTAAATATGACGGATTCGAGAACTAGAAGGAATCTGAGACGATCCTAAACAGGGGCGGTTTTAGCCAAAGAACCCCCGGCGTGTACAAAATTAGCCCAATGCCGTCCCGCTGTTTCGAGTCCCGTCGAGCCTATTACAACAAACTGACATATTGTTTCGAATCGTAGCGGAACTTTTAAAATGTTAATTACAACGTTCTGTTGTGATTATTGATATAATTAAGTTTGGTATATATCATTTTTTTTTCAGCCGTGAGAAGCGCAAAGGGTCGCCATTGTAATTTGATTAAGCACGATCTTGATTCTCGATGCGCGCACTGAAAACGGTCGGGTAATTTTTTCGTACAAATGCCTACGCGTGTAAATGCAAAGTTATGCGTAGTTAGTGGTAGTTAAAGTATAATAAAGACACTAATCATACTCGTATAAAGAAAGCACGCAAAATGCTTACAATGTACGTTAGCTATGTCGTAATTTAAATAATTTTATACCTAATTAATCTTTACGACCGCATTGTTGTTTATGCTCTCTGATTTGCATTGCGTACGATCATAATTTCCCAAATGTATAAAGCTGGCCAAGTCCTTCGGTTTAAGAATTAAATTTGGCGCCAGCTAATTTGCATTAAATTCAGTGACTGTAACAATGCGGTGGTCTTTCAAAAAATATAAAAAACCGTGTGTGCAAATGCCAACTATATAGAAATTATTTTTGAATGTACAAGGTGTCCTATTTTAACGGTTTCAATAAATAACTTTTTTTAAATTAGAACACCCTGTATATTTTTGCATGTTTTGATGTCATTTATTAACATCTACATTGAACGCTATTCACTTTTTTTGTCAATATTACCATTAATAATTTTTCCGAATAATTCCCCATACACAAGTTCCACTTTAGCGACCTTGTTTTTTGAATTTCGGAAATATCAGTATTTTATTTCGCCATTCGATCGTCTGTTGTGTTCTCTTCAATTTTTATAAGGGATATCCATTGTCCAGTGCCTAAACTCCGTAGTTTTTAGGTTATTCAATATTTTTTACAAAAGGACCTACCCATAAATTAATTTATGCTTATGCACCGAAGTAGGCCGTGATAATAAAAAACAAAAGAATACCAGAAAGTAAATAAATGTCACAAATTGATTATTTGATGCAAGTGTAGGTACTCCCTTCATAATAAAATAAGATTAATTAAAAAGATGAAGTAATGGAAATTGCTATAATTAGCGAGTAGAATTTATGCGTCAGGTACAATGATCCACCGATAACTGCTGAAAATATGCAACAACAAATTGCTGACATTTTTGCAAGTATATTTCACCTGAATCTTTTGAGGAGCGAATTGATCTACGCCTAGCTGAAAATGGAAGGCAATTCGAACATGTATTATAATCACTTACATTTTGATGCATTTCTTTTGTGTTTTCATAAAAATAACTGTTGTCTTTTTTATTTTTTAATACTAGGTAGGTACTTTTGTGAAAAATATTGAATAACCTAAAAACTACGGGGCTTAGATACTGGACTTCCCTTATAAAAATTGAAGAGAACACCCTGTATCACTAAATCCAACTTTCTCATTATCAAAGTGTAGTCCTTTACTCGGATTAAAATTATTGTTCAAAGGTATTTCCTAACTCCAAAAAAGAAAGTGGAGCTTGCTTAAAAAAGTTAATAAAATGGCAGCAATGACAAAAAATCAAAAAGTTAACAACGTTAAGAAATGACATCGAAACATGTAAAAATATACAGACACCCTGTACATTCAAAATAATTTCTATATATGCGCAACTATCTGTTGACATTTGCACACACGGTTTTTTAAATATATCTTTTACGAAGTACGAGCTAAGAAGAAGACCGACGAACTTGTTGCAGGGTCCTGTATAATTGGCCTACTTTTAGAATTTTTACAGGGTGTTTCAGCCTCCTTATTATTGGAACTACGAAGTTATTAGCTACTGAAGCATTTTTCTCAGGATTAGAATGGTCAAATACAATTATAAGTATCGACATCCCGTATATTTTTGCATAGATCCGCACTTAAAATTTTCAGCCTTAACAACATGTTAATAAAATCTTCATTAAGAAATTTGGAAAACAAAGAAAACAACTTATACAGTGCGTTTTTTTAAAGACTGGCCATAGGATTTGATACGCTAGTTTTTCAACAAATTTTCATAAGGAAAGGAAGTAAATAACTTCAAAACGTTAATATTGAATAATATTAGTGCTGGACTTTGTAATTTTCGCAAAAATTGTTAGCTAACAAGGCGTTGAAACATTAACATGTAAAATCCAGTCATAAAAAGCTCACACACGCCGATAAAGAAATCCTATACCCACTATAGCTTTATTCAACCCTTCAATAGAACGAACCGTATTCGTTAAAAACTATTTGGTTTGATCTCCTCTTCTACACCTTTGTCCATCTCGGTGCTTGAGATCTCCGCACTTAGTACTTTTATTAAACTCTGTGATTTTTAAAATACTACATCTAATACGTAAAATTACATGGCAGTATTAAATTATAAGCAAATGGGCAACAATTTTTTTCTTCGGTATTTCTAATACAACTCGTACTAAAAATTGGTGTTGTAAGTATCGCAATTTCACCATCATACTTTCGCACACCTTGAAGTGACGGCTGACGGTAGAACAATCAATTAATTACATGAATGGGTGTGCTTATTATTAATTTCGATAAATAAATCTCGTGTTGTCAGAACGCAACCGTAAAAGTAAAAGTGGTTCTCCACATAGTTATGCTTCCAAAAAATGTGGGATTAATTTCGGAAATTTAGAATTAAATAATTTAAAAATCGTTCACTAGCTCGCCCAAAAATTAGTAAGAAATATAAAACTAGAAATACAGGGCGGCGCGGCGCATTGAAAATGGAACAGGACCATTTTCCGCTAGTCGAAATGCAGATCAAATTTAGGTTCGAGTAAAACTAGTACCCCTAATTGTGCGATCACATTAAAAATTAAATTATAAGACATACAGGGTGTTCCACAAAAGTGGTGTGTATGGGCATAGTATTTTTAATGGAACAGCCTATCAATTTTTTTTAAACTTTTTTATGCCGCTTAATAATGAAATACTTTTTTTATGTCTTAGTCATCCCCATCATTGACCTTATAATAAAAAATCGTGAAGGATAGCAAAAGTGCATGAAATGTGAACTTTGAAGTTCTGGCTCGAGTTCTAAACAGCCCTTCAATAATTCTAAGAGTTTTTATAGTGGAGACAATTTATACACTTTTTTTATAATTTGTAAACTCAAGTGTTTGCTTCAATTATAGAAGACTACCTAACTGACCAGTTGGTCCAATGCACATGAATCATGTTGTCATCGATATAAAACAAATGCTGGTGCTTATGCAGGGTGGCTACTGTGTATAGATATATAGTATATATCACGGTAAATAACGACTGTATACAAAATGTGTGTATATAAAAGTTGTTTAACGTTTTATTTCCCATAATAAGACAGCATTCGTATGTTTTTATTTCAGAAAACAGATGAATAACGAAAATCAATTTTATTAAATACCCTTTCGTTCGGCTCATTTGATAGTTGTTAGTACCTTTATACAAGAAAATCAATAACATTAATCTAGATATCCTACATCAAAATAAACAAATGAACGTGAACTGGCCTGCAATCAATTGTTCAAATGAAAGAGATTGTTTTTCGTTACTCATTTGTTTTCTGAAATAAAAACAACTGAATGCTGCCTTGCTATGGGAAATAAAATGTTAAACAACTTTAATCTAGAAAAATGTTGTGTACAGTGGATATTTATCGATACTCGTATACTATATACTCCATACATTGTGGGCACCCTGTATATTAAATATTAATACATTTAATAATCGTAATGTCTTCTACTTCCGATTTAGTCAGAAATGACCTTAACTTTTTGTGTTTAAATGCAACACCCTGCATATGTTATTGTTATAGGACGCAGAATAAATAACTATAAAATAAATGTTATATTTGTGTACATTCGAAAAATGATAAAATAATAAGTAGGTATAAAAAATAGCAAATCGCATTACCTTCGAATGACATGTTACTTGGATGTCGAAAAAAGGAGACATTACAATTATTAAAATTAATATTTGGTATATACAGGGTGTCCGTATTTCAAGCTCCAACATAGGGATCGCGGTTATTTGAAGAGAATCAATTTAGTTTATAAATTGGAGCAAATTTGCGTATTTTGGTACCCAATAATATGTAAATGTCTTCAGAGGTTGCCGAGATTACCGAAATTTTCAATTTTTAAACTACCAAATTTTTAAACTGAAACATTATTAAAGCACTTTTTTATGAGGAATTCAATATGTTACCGAAAAATTCAAGGCATTCTAAACTAGGAAGTGGCAGCCATATTGGATTTTAGAATGTTTGGATAACGTTCGTTTCTCTGCTTACAATGTTACATCTTTAAGATTCCGTCAAAATATGGAAAAACGGATTTTGCGAAGAGTGCTTTGGAAAGAACATGCATTCTTTTGTTTAACAAATACACATCTTTGATAGTTTGTAGTAGGTGCTAAAATCCAATATGGCTGCCTTAACAAATAAACAAATTATCTACTGCAACTTCCAAGTCTAGAGTCTAGATTCCTCTAAAAAAAGTGCTTTAATAATGTTTTAGTTTAAAACGTCTATACGTTTTGTCGTTTTCTAAATAGAAAGAAAAGTCAGTGAAAAGTTAGGGTTTTTCTCAAAAATTTCGGCAACCTATAAAGATCGACGATCAACCACTTTTTGTAGCCATTTGCGACCATTTTTATCTTTCGGAATCCTTCGATTTTTGAATTGATAAATCTTGAATACGTGCCTACAAGCACCATTGCCTTCGGGCGTTTTGAAATCCCACAATGACAAAAATAATCGCTTCTCGAACAATAAAATTTGTTAACCTATCCGTGATAATAAAACCTCCAGTTTGTCGGAAAAGGTCCATATTTTAATTTAGGAAACGGCATATCCTGATTGTTATCGAAACAATAGCGAAACCAACCAACTACCAATCATAAAAAGTGCATTGTGTTCCCAAAAAAGTGAAATTTGAGAAAGAGAAATTGAGCGGTGCCGGAAATCGATAAAAAATGTAGTAAATCCATTTAATTCAATTTCATTGAGAGCGACTAAAGTGCTGTAACTATACATAGGTACGAATAAATTAATTTTTAAATTACATTATCCGCTTGAGAGGCACTTATAAATACAATTTGTCAACATTTTGTATAATCATACACCGCCACAATGAATTGCAAATAAAAAGCAGGAACAAGAGTAGCAAATTACGGTTATTAATTACATAATCATGCTAATTCGAATTGTATGTACCTAACCATTAAGGTCATATTAATTAACCTTTTTTCCGCAATCAGCCGTTCGCTAATCGAATTAGAAAAAAGTTGCGTACGGGTATTACGGAATAATTGAATCAAAAAACGAAAAAAGGTAAAACGGAAACTTCCAATTTTCGAGAGAACCACACAACAACAATCCACTCAAGAGAGGTAACCTTCACAAACCACAATTCTACAGAAATAGAGACATGTAATTTATTTAATTAAGCCTAATCGTTCAAGTCCGTGACTGCACTCTCTGTGTGTGCCCCAAAAAACTGTAAAAAAATCAAGTCGAAATGACTCTCTTCCTTCACCGATATGTCATTTACTCGCAACAGGTGTCTGCGACGTCTCTCCGCTCTTTATCTAAACGCGGCCGTCTCTGTCACTCGCGCCAAAAAAATAAATATATAAATAATAGTTTTTGGTGACGATGTCAACCACCCGCAACTTTGTCTCAGCATTGTCCCCGCAAAGACGAGAGAAATTATAACCGGCATCGTAAAGGATAATTGAGGTAAAACGAAAAAATAAAATGATCATCAATTATTTGGTTTTTAGGTACGCAATTGTTTTCGTTTTCAATTACATTAAATGTTGAAATTACGTCCGTAATTTAAAATTACATTAGTCCCTCTAGCGTTGAAGCAGGTACGGACTCTATAATTAGGTGTCAGTTGCTTTTCTCGTTCCTAATTATTTTCATAACCGCAATCGCGTTTCTTTCCTCTTCTTCTTCTTCTCTCAGTTGATTAGCATGAAAATTAAGTGATTGTTTAAACAATTTACGAGTGTGTGGTCCGGGCCGTCACTTTATTTCCCTTCATTTATCAAACATCGATCAAATTACCAATTATTAATAAGATAATAGTCGATTTTAAGATCTATAAAAGTAATTACACGAACGAACTACTGTTGAACCGACAGGATCGGTCGTGACGAGGCGCATTTTTTAAAAGGCTTGTCTTAATCGAATCTCGTAATTTTATCGATGTCGATTAATTGGCTGCCGGGTACGCATTTCTATTGTGATTGGTCGTATCGCGTTACCGTTTATTTTGAAGACCATTACGCACATCACATGCGTTTCAAATTAACGAAGACGACCGCAGGTTTCACCTGCAAATATTTCCGTTTTTCAAGGTAATGGCTTAATTAAGGTTTCGCGTGTGTAACCGGTAGCATAATTGGCGGTAATTTTTAAATAATTCCGAATTAATCTTACAGTCGAGTTATTGAAAAAAGTGTAGATTACGGCTTGATGCGTAATGATTCCTAGAAGCTACTAGCCTAGAATATACAAGGCGTGTAATATGGGATGCCATTTTTTAAGTAGAACACCGCATACCGGCAATAACATTTTAACATATGAGACTACCCAGAATTTAAAATGTGCCCAGTGCCCTTTCGTCACCAAGCATAAATCCACTTTCCCATAGTACACACAGTACTATTTTTTAGACATTTTCGAAATGTTAAACTAGTAGAGGTCCATACAAAACGAACATTTCCTGTAACGTGACGTTATCACCGGTATGCGTATAACCAAAGTGAACCCGTCTAAAAAAAAGCAATTTTTCTACAATTTTGGAAATATTTGTGTAGGAAATTTTGTAAAATATGCAGAAAGAATTTAAAATGTTTAAAGAATTTTGAAAATGCTTCAGAAAATGCTTCGGAAATATTGAAAATGTTGAAAGAATTTTTTATACGTTTTAGAAACATATAGAAAATTAAAAACAAAATTTTGGAAAAGTTTAAAAAAATTAAGAAATAATTCAGAAGTGATGGAAATGTACGGGAAATATTTGCGAAACATGTCTCAAGCTTTGGGATGTGCAGGAAATTTTGAAAGTGTATCGAAAGTGTGTAGGAATTTTCAAAATGTCTAGAACATTTTGGAAATGCTTCCCAAATTTGTAAATGATGGAAAAGTGTAGGAAAATATTAAAATGTTTCAGGAGTTGTCAGAGAGTCTTGTAAAAGTAAACGAAAATTTGACAATTCATATTTTAACATTTTTTTTAAATTTGTTAAAATTTTAAAAAATGTAAAAAAGAAATTTTGGAAATGTTTCCTACTGTGTTTCAATGTCTTGTGTACTCCTTAGATTTTTTGTGACATGTGAAAGACCTTTTCCCTTTGGAAATGATGCGCACCTGAGAACAAATTGTTAAGTTTTTTATTTCCCGATCGATATGGAGACAATATAAATATAATAGACAAAATTCTATTGAAAAAACATAACCACCTATGGTTTGTGTCATAACTAACTACATACATCTTAAGTAACTATGGAGGCCAATTCAAACTACGTCACCCTAGAGCATGAGTAGTATCACATAAGAATTTTTTTAAAGTGACCACCTCTTATCGCTCGGTATACACTGTATGTTTTGGACGGGAGTAAAATCCGTTACGCTAAGCGAGCCAAAGGCGAGCTCAGTATTATTAAAACGCATTTAAGTAACTATCACATTAAAATCGAAAGTTTATGATAACAAAATAAGTTTTGTTAATTATACGCGAATATTAAGAAGGCAAGGACAATGACGTTGGTTCGAACCCGAGCGCCCGCGTTTTTTTTCTATACCACATAAATTAAAAAAAAAGAAAAACTGCATGACTATAAACTATAGAGAGTGTCTAACAACAAACTAAGTTAATGAGAAGCTATACTCGTAATGCCAATGTATTTTTAGAAAATTTGTATAGGTAAACAATGCAATGTTTAACTCTTCATTTCTGCCTCAGGTATGGTTTCAAAATCGCAGAGCAAAGTGGAGGAAACAAGAAAAAGTAGGCCCACAAGCCCATCCCTACACACACTACTTAACACCAACAGCAGGTGGTCCAGCGCCGTCGGTCATCCCACCAACCCTTCCGAATCCCTTCAACATTCCCTTCGGATTACGTAAACCATTCGACTCCCTCAGCTTCCGTTATCCACCCCAAGTACTTCCGGGATACCTAACGGCAACACCGTCGCCCTACCATCGAGGTCCGCCCTCGCTTCTACCGCCCTCCGTCGGTCTCTACCCCTCCGCAAGTTCCTTCCAAACGCTACTGGCGAACATATCGGCCGCGCAAAGACCGAAACTTCCGACGCCGGAGTTCACCGCTTCCCCGCCGCTGTCGCCGAACTCTTCCGGCGCGACGTCGTCGCCGCCCGAGGTCGACCGACGAAGTTCCAGCATCGCCGCCCTGCGACTTAAAGCTCGGGAACACGAACTCAGACTGGAGATGCTTAGACAAAACGGGGATCTAATTAGTTAGAATTTAATTTTGTAGGTAATCGTAATGTTTGTTTTTTCATCGCTATTATTTTCTGATGTAAAACTGTGATGTAAATCTTTTAATTCTTCTTAAATTGTCCGAGTATAATAATAATTATTATATGTATGTATATTTATTAGTAATTACGTACGACTGCGTTTGTCCGTCCAAAAATGTATGCAAATAAAGTCTTATTATTTTGTACTACCGCCTTTTTATTACGGCAGTCGGTCAATCAAGGTATTACACGCATCATAAATGCAAATAGAATCTAATTAAAGGATTTTATAGCGACCGTAATAATTCAATTCAATGCAAAGTAGCGAGTTTATTGTTTATAATTATTTACGAGGCGAGATAATTAAAATTGCGAGCGCACTTAATTACGTTGCTCGTGATAAAACTGATCTTGAGGAGATAGCGGAGAAATTACTTGGGCGAGGCTGCACATCAACTGGAAATGGGCAGAGATGCGAATCATCTTCTGGGGGTAGATGGAGAATTAACGGCAAATACTTAACAAGAAGACGAAACAGGGTGTCCCAAGTAATTGGCACCTTCTATAATGGAATTCACATCCAGATGGCAGTATATTGGTAGGTATAAGATAACAGCGTTGCCAATTCTATTGCCAATGTCAGTTTTGCTAATTGGTTACTGTTGGATAGGATAAGTAGACACTAACTGCTTGCATTTGCAATTTAGCACATCGCCGTTTTTGAATGAACACAAACGTCTATCTCTATAACGCTGCGATCTAAATGTGAATTCCACTTGTTGTAATTCAGTTACAAGATAATATACAAAAAAAATGCTCGTTTTGGAATTGAAGAGAGGCCCCACTTTCAAGTCTTTGAATTCATCCCCTTACAGTCTTTAGACAAGTTGGCTACTTCTACAGGCTCTAAGTTAGTACTTAGCCATATGCACTTGCAATACTTTCAAATATTTTAAATGTGCACAGTGTGATTTTGAAACACATCACCGCCATGTCCTGAAACGGCATCTCTTAACTCACAAAACATTAAAGGATTTAAAATGTGCACACTGTAATAGAACTGTTAGGCAATGTCAATGTCAATAGGTATACAGTGCGTTCGAGATAAGAGGGTCGCCTCAATATCTCTTTTATTTGACGCGATATGAAAAATTTTTCAAAATTTTATGTGACATTATGATCTATCCAATCGCAAATTCAGACATCCGGCATCACTTCCGGTTTAAGCGGAAATCGATGCAGCTTTTGTTTTTCACATGCAATGCCTGTTTTTACAATTGAAAAGAGCAATCAATTTGCTGTACGACAATGTAAAATATGCATATCGTTATTATAGAGAAATTCGTTATTCCATACAGGGGCGGACTGACCCGGGGGGGCGGGTGGCGGTTGCCACCTGGCCTGTAGATCATAATGGCCCGTTGGAAATTTATAAGTATGTGCTGTATTTAGTTTCTTGCACTATTAATAAATTATTAACACGTTTCTCTAATTGGGGTTGATATTAGGTTGTTAAAAAAATCTGTTTTAATTGAAGTGTTTTACAATGGATTTATCATTTTTTGTCGTAGCATGAAAGTGCTGAAGTACAATGATAGGCGACGCGCCTCGTTTGGACTGTACACATTCTATAAGAAAAATTTTTTTCCGGGTCAATCTGAGACAATTTTTTTTTCGGGGCTCCAAATGATTAACACGTTTCTCTAATTGGGGTTGATGTTAGGTTGTTAAAAAATTCTGTTTTAATTGAAGTGTTTTACAATGAATTTATCATTTTTTGTCGTAGCATGAAAGTGCTGAAATACAATGATAGGCAACGCACCTCGTCTGGATTGTATATTTTGTTACTTTTAATTATCAGCTGCAATTAAAAAAAAAACTGTATGGAAATTGATTTTCGAGAAAGGAGCACTGTTTTTGTGGTGCACCTCAGAGCTACCGCCCCCCCCCCCGCCACCTTCATTACTACAGTAATACTTTAATGGCCTGTAACCTATGCAATTCCACCTGGCCCTTAAGTACCCAGTCCGCCCCTGATTCCATATTTAGAAAATTTATGAAATCTAGCATGCCGTGTGCTGTCAGGATGCGCGGTGCCTGTTGCATTACATGGAGAGATTGTATCGCGCAAAACTAAATCTTCAAAACGAAACATTGAACAGGTATTTTCTGTGTTATATTTTTGTCGTACAGAAAACTGATTGCTATTGTCCGATATATTAAACAAACATAAGCATTGCAATAAAAAAACAAAAAGTGTATCGATTTCCGGTTAAACCGGAAATTATACGGGACATTTTAATTTATTTAATCGATCTATGTTAATTTGTTCAGAGAGAAACCAAAAACAAAATAAAATAACACTTATTTGTTGCTATGGGAAAGAAAGAATTTAATTTGCTGTCAGTTACCTTTGTGACAATCTTGGGATAGTGAAAATTAATTTATTGATAAATCCCTGGTGGGAAGTTTTCAAATGAACACCCTGTATACAAAACTTCAAATTCCTAATATAGACACAAAACTCTGTCGCCTCTACTAGCTTTTGATTACCAGATTTTAGTTGTCACAGTTTTACTTTTACAAGTAGGTACATATAAATTATTATTGATTGGGTACCACTGTAATATTTGTTCGAGGACCGCTGTATTTTCCAAATTGTATCGTATTTCGTGGTGTCGTGTAACTTTTAAGCGGAGTGTATTAATAAATTCCATGTTGGTTTAATTGAAAATGTTTAAATAAATCATATTCTGGCGATTTAACGGATTTATTTTGTGTGATTCCCGAATTGGTTTGGATCGAGATACACTATTCTGCTATTTTGCATTAACTAACTCAATTGTTATCTCGTGTATTCCTTTTATGAACTGTAGCTCAGTGGTGGAGCATTGGGATACATAGCCGGGAGATCGGGTGTTCGAACCTGGGCTGAGGTAAGAATTTTTCATCTGTGACAGAGATGGGAATTTTTGCAAAATTTCGGAGTAATTGCGCCCAGAACAAAAGAGGGACAATGAATTCTTTTCGCTTTATATGGAATTTGAACCCTGTCAATCGTCTATTAATATTAATTCCTAACAACCCTCTTATTAATAGGAGGTATGTAATTAGTGGATAATTCCTCTTCAAGGATACCGAAGTTAATTTCTTGAAAAGTTGAACGTCATTTGTTATTTGTCGTTTGATTTAAAACGCGTTACGATTTTTGGAGGTACTCCGCCCTCCTTAAAGAGACCGCTGTGCTTTGTTAAAATATTCGATCGTAATTCTGGATACAAGAAGTATGTACCTCCAAAATTAGTTATGTTTTTCAACAAATTTTATCTAATGAGTGCCACCCTTTTGTAGATATGTTCGCGTCCCAATATTGCACAATCTGAGTTTATAAAGTGTTCACTTTTCCTTTCGAAAAATTCTCCACACTTGACAAGATATAAACGTACACAAAAAGTCATTTATAAAATCCGAAAGAATCACAAAAGCAAATCTAAAAATAAATTAAAACTTATAAATAATGTATTTCCATTAGGGTAATATGCAAAGATTAATTAAAAATTTTTTAGTTGTAACACGTTTAGTCAGAAGAAATGACGGGATCAAGCTTGAAGTGGAGCGTAAGCCTATAATCAGACTGTCAGTCGACCCCTCCCAGTCCGACCCTGCCGAAATTAAATTACACGCAATTTATACGAACTTCTTCACGCGAATCTCGCCGTTCTCTTCTAACTTTCGGACGATGAACGACGAGAAGACGAAAAAAACGCACAAACGCACCAAAGAGCGTATATTAATCTTTTTCGCTACCGTAGATGAGTTTCTCGATCTCGTGCTTTGTAATTAGATAGTTTAGCGGATCTTTCGCTACAATTAGAGGTAAAAAGTCGTAAATAATCAAAATGGCACAGATTCGGAGGTAGCGGCGCTATAAATTTAATTTATATTTTGATCGCGACCATCATCATCATCATAATCGTGATTATCAACCAACATCATATATGAAAAGCACATGTAAATGAATTATATCTTCTCCAGTTATAATAGTTCTACTATATTTCACGTCCCTGTCAGAACGCTGACTATGTTACCTGCCTGTCTCGGGTTCGCCTTTGAGCAATTATCTAATTAAAATTAATGCCCGTTTAAAACCCAAACTCATCAGAGTAGGCCCACGGTATAAATTAATCATGGAATAATTGACTTCTTCGTGATGGATATTTTTAATTTAATAAATAATGAGAAATGCATTAAGCTCTAGTTAGCAGGTGAACAAAAAAGGATGGTCAACGCGGCCCTCAAATTATGCACGCGACATGCGTACAACCAAATCTTCCTTTTGATTAGACGTCCGCAAACAAACCACACAATATATCACTGTACACATTTCCGTACATCTGATGGTACTGACATTATCAAACAGTAGACGATAATCCGACTGTAAAAATCCTTTTTGAGTTAGAAAATTCAATACGCATTGTTTCAAAAAAATTAAGAGTTATTTGTGTTTTACATAATGACGTTATACGGTTATCATTTCCAGTATCTCCGATGGTTGCATGGATTGCGAGATGTGTGAATTTTGTTTTTCAAATAAAACGAAGATAACAAAGACCAAAGTTAGTTTCATCTGTCTATAAATGTTATGGTTCCGGCAAAACCGCTGTAACGAAGCACCCATTTTCCCCCTTGAGTTTCATACCCGAAGTTATGACCACACCGTATATTTGTGAAGTCGACCAGCTTTGCTAAACACCCGGTATCTAGAAGCGTTTTAAGTTGGCCGGGGTTGTTTTAATTGTTTGTTTTACCGCAGCTAACGCAAGTAAGTTAAGTTGTGCGATCGTTCCTGTAGGAATATCTAAATTGTTTTTACAACCGCCGAAAGCTCTCTTGCCAGAGAAGAAGACAAATTAATATTTTTGAATTTCAGACATAATAAGCCATTAGATCAACGCTGCTGTATTTCTCTAATAAAATTAACTTTCGTTTTTGTTGACCTAACTGGACGAATGCTTGTGGGTGGTTTTAAGGAACATTTGGGAGGATCTCCCGATAGCCGGATGGAGTAGTGTGTTGCACCGGTATAATGACTATTTGATACGTCAGACGTACGTCCAGTTCTAATGAATCTTGAAAGCTTAATAACTTTCATCTTGTAACCAATCAAAACGCAATTGTGCACGTCCCCCCAATTTCCATAATTTGT